ACTACAGATTATTAGTATGCGAAGAAAAGCCTTCGTGACTCAAAAAACATTCTCGAATGAGTTTCCCATGGACATCTTGCCAATAACCGCTACAATGGATACTCGTATGTACTCATAGAATCCATGCAGCAACGCGGCCACTTCATATCAATCCCTTCGCTTCATATTTTACTTCGCAAATGAAGCAATACGAGCATCAGGTACGGTCGTCCATTTGTGGGCGGGCGTGGTGGGCGTTCGGGTCGGTATGTTGTAGCTTGATGAGGCCCTTATGAGATATCCTCTTTGGAAAAGGCGCTACGAAGCGTCTGCTCAGGGTAGCGGAATTTCTTCCTGCCAGGCGCATTTATCCTACTCGCCTTATCATGCCAACTGCCTTTAATTTCCATCACAATCTGACTGGCTGGCAACAGAGACAAGAATTGGGTATCTTTATTTCAACTTCTACATCAACTAGTCGTGCATTTGACAGTGTGTCGAGCCGGGACAGATGGGTCTTAACGCTTTTATCGTAGTCCAATAAGGTCACTTTTGTTGGTAGCGGAATGTGAAGGGGATCTCCTATTGAGAATTTCTTTTATACCGTTCTACTCTGAATGATGATATACAGGGTTACGAAAGAGTTCTGGCAATTTCTTAAAATACATTGTACAAAAATACCACTGAAATAAATAAATAAGCAATTCCAAACGACTGAAAAGCATCACAAGAAGAAATAAGAAGAAATTAGGCTTAGATCAGGCGAGTTGGAAAGCGAAACGTAATTGCCCCGAAATCCCGGAAACAGCTCTTCGCAAACGGCAATGGTGGATTTGGCAGAATGTGCTGGAGCCCAGTCTTGCTGAAGCACAAATCCATCTGAACCGAAATGCGACGCCCATGACTTCAGCACATGGTGAGGAAGCTGGTGTTTGTCAGTTCTGGTGGTTATGAGCAGGCTCGATCGTAAAAATTTTTCGTCGATGAAGGACACCTTCTTCAACCTACAAACCAGATGACGCATCCGGCGAGCTTTCTCCAGTCTTTCTGTCTTCATCGCTTCACTCGAAATATATAGGCGACTCATCTTGTAAGTGCTCACTTCTTCTCGACTATATTCCGCACACTTTCTGGGCCAGTTCTGAGTTATTCAGCATCTTTGGCACGGACACAACCGGGTTGCTACGAATTCGGCAGCGCACCTTGCTTACAGTTGCTGTGGTGGTCACGGTGGTTGTGCTAGCGCAACTAAGAAGATCCGCAATCTCCCGTTTGCTAAGGTCCGCTGCTTGAAGCCGGTCGTACGAAGAATATCGGCCGCCCTCAACCCTGAATCGTTCACTTCAAAAAAGGCAGAAGGAAGAGAAATTAGAAGTGATCGGATGAATTCTCATATAGTAGATCAAAATGGCGCAATCCATAACTCATCAAAGATAAAAAAGACCATGGTGACCACTCAAAAAAAGCGCGAGCATAAAATTGCCAGAGCTTTTTGGTCACCGTGTATTGTGCGAAAAGTTGTATCGAGTGGGAGATAATGTGCAAGGGCTGCAGGGAAAAGCCTCTTTCATGCTTGACAATGCACGCCCATGTATCGCGAAGCTGACTCAGATGAAGCTGGAACGTCGACTGGACCGCTGTTCCCCACAGACTGTGTAGCAGTGACACTGCCCTAACCGAAAACCATCTCTCTTGCTCTTTGACTCATCACTTTGAGGGACCTTACTCCGTTGACGTTGATGACCTC